ACTAGGTTCAGAGCCACTCCGGGGTTGCCCCAAGGGCTGATAAAACAATTATGGACAGAAAAAGGACAGTGAGATATGGAAACAGCTAGATTGGTTACAGCAGGTGTTTGCCTCATTTGAGCCAGTTGAACAGTTGGCTTTCTGTGGTTGACTGAAGCTTGGCTGCTGTGATTGGCAGAGTTGCTACTTCTTACAAGAATAGGTTATTGTATGTTTACACATCCAGTTGGATTCATATGGAGAAACGTTCAGGCTGAATTTAAAGATATAAGGAGGCAGCCTGAGGCCAAACTTAACACTTGTCACTTTTGGTCAACCTCTTAATTTTTGAGAGGTTGGCCAAAACTTGAGGCATCGACATCACTCTGTAACTCTTGTCACTCTGTAACTTATTTGGTCTCTAATCTCATTGGAAAATAGCAGTAACAGCGTAAGGTGGGAACAAGGAAACAAAACAATGGAAAAACAATTGATCAGATACATCATGTTACTTCAGGTTACTTTTTGGAAAGGGTTAGAGCACAGAGGACTTCCTTATTAAGCTGAACTCTCCTGCCTTCAGGAGACAAAAAACAAACAAGAAACCTGGTCTGTTTGGGGATTCATTTAGTTTCCTTAAAGTTTTAACTGGATTATGTGGCATTTAGCATGAGGGACTCCTTTTTGGTTTGGTCTGTTGGAGGCTAGTGCAACTTAATCCAAACAGTGGCCTCCTACAGTTTTGTTTAACATATGAATTCAGATTTCGAACTTTGTAGAAATCTGCTTTTTCTTTTATTGTATAAGTACCTATACAATGTCCTCAAATTTGCCTTTCAGCTTGTCAAGCCTAAAATATTTACTACCTGGTTTTACAGGAAAAGTTTGCTGATCTCTGGTTTGGAAGAGCATGGAAGTTAAGTGTTAGGCAGATCTGGATTGAGCTCCAGCACTGCCATTTATTGATTGTATGACTTTGAGCAAGATATTTATTTTTCCTAAGCCTCAGTTTTCTTCTCTATAAAATGGGCATACAAATAATATTTATTTTTTTTTTTTTATTAAATCATAGCTGTGTACATTAATGCAGTTATGGGGTACAGTGTGCTGATTTTATATACAATTTGAAATATTTTCACCAAACTGGTTAACATAGCCTTCATGGCATTTTCTTATTGTGTTAAGACATTTATATTCTACATTTAGAAAGATTCACATGTGCCCTTGTAAGATGAACCATAGGTGTGGTCCCACCAATCACCCTCTCTCCACCCATCCTCCCCCTTCCCCTCCCCTCCCTCTCTCTTTCCCCTATTCTTGGGCTAAAATTGGGTTATAGCTTTCATATGAAAGCTATAAATTAGTTTCATAGTAGGGCTGAGTGCATTGGATGCTTTTAAATAGTATTTATCTTGAAATGTTAAAGGAGATAATGCATTCAGTGTGCAATGCCTATTAGATGGTAAGAATGTATCATATTATTTTTTGTCATAGTTTTGCCATAAAGTGAATGAGAGTAAATAAAATAGCTTAGCTAAATGAGGATTAAATTTTATGTTACATTAGGAACTACAATATAGTCTACCATATTTCACTTAGGAAATGTTTTACTTATTTAAAAAGGCATTTTGAATTGAACAATAATGAAAAAGGCTCATACAGGATAGATAAAATATGTTATGACAGAAGTTTTAAGAAAGTCATGCCCAGCTAATCTGGGAGAACTGAGATCATAAATCATAGAGCTGAATAAATCAAAACTCTCTCCTTCTCAGATTCTGCTTGCTAAATTCTTGATTAGAGTCAGAAAAGAAAAGGCCACAGGTCCATGGATAGGTATTTTGCTGAAGAGGAATGTGGGAACAGACCAAAGGAAAAAAATTTTAAGCTGTAGTCTTTATATTCATGCCTAAGGTCAGGACTTTAAACTGCTCAAGACAGTGCCCAGTGTCACCCCCAAATTTCGAAGCCCAGATCGGGCTTTAATTTGTTTTTTAAAGAATAGCAGCTGTATTGAGATAAAGTTCACATATGATACAATTCCTTAGTATAAAATGTACAATTCAATGGCTTTTAGTATATTCACAGAATTGTGCTATTATTACCACAACCAATTTTAGACGATGTTCATCAACCCCCAAAAGAACATTGTACCCATGAGCAGTCTTTCCCCAGTCCCTAGTTCCTGGCAACCATTGATCTACTTTCTATCTCTACAGAGTTGCTGATCCAGGATATTTTATATAAATTAAATCATATAATATGTGGCCTTTTGTGAGTAGCTTTTTTCACTTAGCATAATGTTTTTGAGATTCACTCATTTAGGGTGGTGCCTGTGGCTCAAAAGGGTAGGGTGCCGGCCCCATATACGGGAGGTAAAAAGTTAAAAAACAGCCCTGGCCAAAAAAAAAAAAAAAAAAAAAAAGGAGAGATATTCACTCATTTAGTACTACTTTGGTATTGGAACTTTATTCCTGTTTATTGCCAAATAATTTTCCATTGTTCAGATATGTTACATTTTGTTTATCCATTCTTCACATTTTATTTGTCTCATTGGAAAATAGCAGTAACATCTGTAAGGTGGGAACAAGGAAACTAAACAACAGAAAAACAATCAGTTGATGGACCTCCATCAGTTGACTGACATTTAATTTTGACTAACACTGAAACTCCCTTTCTTCTGACTGAGGCTCCACAGAATGTTACATCTCCTTTTCCTCTAAGGCTCCATACTGTTACAGCAATGCTTCTTGATCACCCTGACTGAGCCGGCCTTGTAGGGCTCAGGTTGTTTTTTTGTGAGAGATGAGAGATTTTAGCATACTATTTTTTATTTATTTTGATTTTATCCAGAGCGTGTAAGGATAGAATTTACTGCAAGAATTTAGTCGAAAGATATGTGAAAGGAGGTCAGGGCTGTTAGAGATTGTGTTCAGGCAGTCATGTAGTGTCAAGGGTCAGCCAGTGAATTGTGAGATGCCTGTGGGTTCAATATTACTTCTTCCTTTAGTTCACAAAAAAATTACCAATATTCCATAGCATTTCTGAAACCAAAAATTTTGTGAACCGTTGTGTTAAGGGCTTAATGCTATCTATTTTGGGGCTGCCCATGACAGCTTCTCTCCTCTGGTGGTGCCAAGTAAATTCAACTACCAGGCTCCAGGTATTTGCCTTATTTCTTCCTTAGCTAGTTCATGATTACATCCTCAGAGCTGGCAAACATTCAACTTGTGATTTCTCAGGCTGAGTGTATGTGTGAATATACGATAAGCTCATTTGTGCTCCTAAAACCCTCTCCCTTAGCTATGTTCTGCATTAGTGTGATAGTTACACCAAAGAAGAGTTTCAAGATATTAATCTGCATCAGTAGATGGTAGAAGACACACAGGATACTTTATGGGGAATTTCAGTGAAGGAAGGAAGAAATTAACCATTTATTTGACACAAGGATTAAAAAATTGTGAATTTTGTATCAGATAGATTTTATAACCTAACCTGGCCAAAAATTTAATATCTCTATGCCTCATGTTTAAAAGGGGGATAATAACACCTCATAGGGTTGTTCTAATAATTAAACATGGCCAAAACACATGAAGAAGTGCTCAACCTTGTGAGTAATCAAGTCTTAATTTGTACTCATTTAGCAAAAATTAATGTCTGATAATATTGACATATACATCAATCTCTCATACATAGTTGGGAAAATGCACAAATTTGAACAAATATTTTGACAAAATAATTGTGCATTTTCTTGTAAAGTGTAACATAGAACCCAGTTCTATGTTTACTCCTACATAGATAGCCATGGAAAGTTAAGCACATACACACCAGGAAAAATGTTCATAGCAGCCTTGTTTATAAGAGCAAAACCTGAAAACAATTGACAGGAAATGGATAATTTTCTGTATAGCCACATAACAGGCTGTAACACAGTAGTGGAGTTGAAAAATATAGAAACGGTACTCTTTTTATGAAGTTCAAAAACAAGCAACACCGAACGACACATTGTTTATGTACAGTATATGTGAAAAAACTCAAAAGAAAAGAGTGAATGATCAGCAATCCAAAACCCTTCCATGATTATGGTTACTATGTTACGGGATAGGCTGTGGGTTGGAAAGGGGGAGGAGCTCACAAGTAGGTGCCACTTACTAGTAATATTCGTGGGTTAGGGATGAAGCCAAAGGAATTCACTGTACATTTATGTAAATAAGGAGGGCTATCCATAGATTGTGAATAAGAGAGTGTCATGAAACAGTGTATATGATTAATGAACTCAGGTTACATGAGATCCAAATAAACAAGGAGAAGGAAAAGTAAATAAAAGTAGCATATGAATATTGTAAAAAAAAAAAAACTCGGATATACACATGCAATAATGTAATTATAACAAATGAAAAAAATTTCACCTGTTATCTTGCACTTAGAAAAATTACAGCGAAGACTGTAGTGTTACATGTGAGTCACTAAGAAAGTTTTGATCTAGCTAGGCGATGTCATGGTCCATTATTTCACTTCAAAGAAACACAGTTGATAGCGTCCTTGTTCTTATTCACCCGTGCAAGTTTCACCTTCCTTGGCTTATTGGTGTTTTTGGAAGGTCTCTGCTTGTTTTTATCCTGGCAGATTTTACATTTCTTGATTTTTGTGTATATCAAAACTTACGTAATGACCCACATTACCTTCTATTCTTTCCCCTATAAATCAAAAATAGTTTTTTAATGAGACTAAAAAATGTCAAGTTGATAAAATCTATGCTGTATGGGAAATGGTTAGGTTAAGCCACCTACTCCAGGTTCCAAACAGCGTGGAGTCAGCCCTTACAACAGGCAGTAGCCATTCAGCAGGAAGCCCCAGGAGCTACAGGCAGCTTCAGGGCGGAGCCAGTCCTTGAGACCTAACTCCTCCGCGCAGCCTCTCTCGGGTTCCGAGAACACGCCCTGGAAGGTGTCCTGCTCTCCTGGAGGCGTGGCCAAGGGGCCGGGCGGTCCTCAGCGGCCGTCCAGGTAACGAGTTGGTTGGGGAGGAGCTCCGTCGCGGTGTGATGACGTCGCCCATGGCCGGGCCGGGCGTGCTACTCGTGCGCCGCTGTGATTTGGCGCCCTGGTCCTAGCTGTCGAATTGAGGCATATCCCTACTGTGGGTTGGGATGTTACGTGATGCTGGAGACGTGGGTGAGGACGAGGAGCATGCGGAGGAGGATTGTCCTGAATTGGTTCCCATTGAGACGAAGCAAAGAGAGGTGGAAGAAAAGTCTGTGCTCGGCGCCAAGATCCCAGTCTCAATCATCACCGGGTATTTAGGTAACTAACCATCCCGGTCAGAAAATGCCGTGAACTCTGGGATTTGGGGGGCTGCCGGTGCCTCTTCTCCTTAAGCACCGGGGCCTCCAGGTCGAGAGCAGATATCTTTGAGGTAGGGGCTTGAGTCAGTTGCTCCTTATGTGGGTTGCTTCTCTTCTTGGAGGTTTAATGATGCCTAGACCCTCTTGCTTTAGATTGACATTTCTCGAGTAGATTGGAAGTTAGCCTTTGAAAGGAGGTCTTGAAGCCTGGCTGACTTCGGCCCCTAATTATCCGTGACCTCTAATAAGTTATCTTACCTTTCTGAAGTTTATATACCTCACCTGAAAGTGGAAATAATACCGTTCACCTGTTTGAGTGTGTATTCTCATCTGAGAAATGGGGTAGGGAACACCTGCTGTATAATAATTCTTGCCATTGATGGATTTCTTGTCTATAAAATGACACGTGTGCCATTCTTTGGTATATTCATTCCTCTTCCCCACGGGCCAGACTCTTCCAGTTATTGGTGGGAAGTATTCCCTGATCCATTTTTTTTTTTTTTAGGTCTTTTTGCAAACTGGGAAAAAGTAAGAGTACAGTCTCTGTCTTTCAAGACTGTTTCCCAAACTTAGGAGTATTTAGGAATTCTTCAAACCGCAGGTTTGTGACCATGGTACAGTTTCCTTAAGGATAGATTATGCAGTAAAACACTAGAGAGTCTTCAATTGGAAAAGTTTGAGAAATATTTTTAAGCCTCACACATAGAAGGACTAGAATAAATACATGACTATATTAAAAGTGTGGGAAAAGTTAGGAAATGTAAATAAAGTGGTACTAGTTCACTAGCCCACTAGCCGGGCGCGGTGGCTCACGTCAGCAATCCTAGTACTCTGGGAGGCTGAGGCGGGTGGATTGTCTGAGCTCACAGGTTTGAGACCAGCCTGAGCTAGAGGGAGACCTCGTGTCGAAAAATAACCCGGGCGTTGAGGCTGGTGCCTGTAGTCCCAGCTACTCGGGAGGCTGAGGCAAGAGAATCACTTAAACCTAGGAGTTTGAGGTTGCTGTGAGCTATGATACCACGGTACTCTACCAAGAGCGACGAAGTGAGACTTTGTCTCAAAAAAAAAAAAAAAAGTGATACTAATTCAGGGAAATAATGTTATGCCTAGGTACTACCAGACACAAGTACAAACTCGGGACACCTGAGGGCCTTTTTTAAAGTAAAAATAACTATATCAGTTGTGTGCTTTTATCTTTGACTTAGAGACTGTAAAGCTTATTCCTGTTTTTTACTCAGGACTAATTGTATAAGGAATTGACTTTTGACATTTGCCCACTGTTCTTCAGAGGCTGCTCTACTGACCAGCAAATTCCTCGTTTGAAATAGTATACTTCAGACTTGCTCCTCAGGCCATTTCCATTTTTGCTCACTGGTAGGTCAGTAAAGCTTTGGAGATAACGGTCTGTACCGCAGGAGTGAGGACTAATGCCAGAAACCTTCTTGTTACCAAATCTGGAGGGTAATTTTACTCCTTGTTCTTGAATACTTTCCAGTTGGTTTTTATTACATTTTCTTCTGATTTTTCCACCACCTACTTGTCTGACTTCTTTTTATGAATCCCCCTGGCTCCCACTGTCCATTTTTAACTTTATGCCCTACAGATACTTCAAACTTTATATATATATATATATTTTTTTTTTTTTTTCTTGAGACAGAGTCTCACTTTGTCACCCCTGGTAGAGTGCCGTGGCATCATAGCTCGCAGCAACCTCAATCCATTGTAATACGATTGATTGTATATTACAGTCACCTGAAATCATTCTGTTCCTGGATCCCACCCACAGGGAATACTCTTAAAAGCCTCCTAACTAGTCTTGAGTCTTGCCGTTCTTTAGTATACTCTCTGCATGTTATTCCTAGTGATGTTCATGTCGATCTGATTACATCCTTCACTGGCTTCCGTTGGGTTAAAGTTCAAATTACTAAACTTGAATTGGAAGAACATATATGATCTAGCTCTTGCCACCCTCCCCAGCATGCCTAACTGTAGCCTAGCACATTGGACTGATAATAGCTTCTTGAAAGTGCTTTTCTTTTTACTGTCACTCCTCTGGCTAGATGTCCCTCTTAGGTTTTCCACAGCATTTTGTACATCTCCTGTTGAATGTATCATCCTGTAACATAATTAACCTCCTTATTCATCTGGATTTCTCTCCATCCATCTATCCCTTAATATTTTTAAGCCCTGTGAAGGCAGAGACTGTCTTGTTCACTTTTTACTAAGGGGCAACATAAATCTTGTCCATAGTAGATTTGAATGAATGAATTGTCTTAAGGTCTTTTTCTTCATAATATGGTTAACTATTAAGTCCTAGTAAGTCCTCTATTGTAAGGTTTCTTAAATCCAACCCTTCTTTCAATTTTCACTGTTGCTGCCTTGTGAAACACTTATGTTCAGGGCCACTGTATCATGCTTGGACTAGTTTTAAGAATTTCCTCATTGCCCTACCTCCTTAAATTCTCTCTCTTCTAGTTTATACTTCACATTTATGTTGGGCTTCCTAAAGGACTCTTAACCTCAGTAAATTATACTTATTATACTCTAGAAAATGGAATGTATTACAGAAGATGTTAACTTTATAAGCTAAAAGACTTTATAAGCTAAAACCTGTGGAAAAGGTTTTATCAGTATTCTTTGTAATAGCAAAACCCCTCAAACAACCCAAACATAGAGATAAATAACTGATAGGTTCATACAGTTGAACTGTACTTTGATGCAGTTAGGTTTTTCTCTCCCCCCCCCCCATGAATTTTGATGTGTATAGTTCCCAAGACAAATGTTTTCCTTCTACTTGAGAACTTAGTAGTTTAATATGCCACCTACTGGATAAAGTTAGGATAGCTTTATGAATATCTTTGCTGAATATGCTGTCCATTGTTAAGAAGTCCAATTCCCCATTTCATAAAATCACTTTTATAAATGGATTGCTTTAAGCATATTAAAAATAGACACATAATCTGAACTTGTGTCTGGTTAATGTTGGATGTTGAACTATAATATCTTTATGTGTATATTTTAGGAAAGTAAACCATATTCTAGGTCCAGAAACATTGTCATCATGTAAAGGGATGTAAATATTTTATATTTTATAAACAACGTGAATACTTTATTTCTTGGGAGCCATTACTATAAGAATTCCTTATTTAATAGAAGTTTTAGATATCCTTATGTTATTGCATTGTATTGTATAAAGAAGGCACAGTATTTTGTTTCTGCTGAAAAACTAGGATTCAACTTGTATTTGTAAATATAACATTTCACATCTATGTAAAGCATTTTGTAATAGTTTTCAAAAGGGTGCTTTATTCTTGTAGAACCTTATACTTTTGTTAAATTAATACACAAAAAATAGAATGAATATTCTGAAAAACATTGGGACTCTATAGCTTTTTGGTACCTTTAAAATTAGTGTTTGAATTTTGTAATTTAAAGCAAATGTATTTTGTAGGTGCTGGGAAGACAACACTTCTGAACTATATTTTGACAGAACAACATAGCAAAAGAATAGCCGTCATTTTAAATGAATTTGGGGAAGGTAAGTAAAGTTCAATAAATTGCATGTTCCAAAAATTTATAGGACAGTTTATTCCACAGTTTAGTCATTTTTTAATTCCTTATTTTAAAATGAAAATTAAGGTATTGTAATGTGAACATACTGGTGTGGATAGCTTTGGAAAAATTAATTTCTGTGAACCATTATTTTACATGGATTGAGATACTGAAGTCAGATAAGTTACTTTAAAATTATATTTTACATAACTTTAGAATTCATACTAATATAATTAGATTTTTACATGGAATAAATTACTCCAGAAGTAAAAATCTAAACACATGAAAGAAAGTTATTTTTTTAGGAACTAGAAAGGTGCTTTTGTACTGACTATGTTTTTTATTGCAACTCATGAAAAATGTTTGAAAATGCTTCAGTTGTTAAAGGTTTACCCTGCTGAATGTTGGTTATCTGCAAAGCAGTTAAAATTGAAGATTTTAAATGTAGGTTAGACTTGGTTTCCCTTCTTAAATTTCTGTGAAAATATATGGGCTTCTCAACTTTTTGTCTTAAATATTTAACAGATAAAAAAAGTATATGCAGCAGTATTAAACAGAGTACTTTGATTACTTTTAGAGTTATTTTATTCCCAAGTATGAATTGTAATAAAAGCTCAATTTTAGTGAAAAACATAAAATTAGACTATTTCTGTCCCTCCTCCTTCCCTTCCCCTCCTCCCACCCTTTTCTTTCTTTCCTTCTTTTTAGTGATTGTTAGACTATTTCTTAAAGTGTACCATTTTTCACTTGTAAATGGTTAAAGAGCTAGATTTTATGAATAGGATGAGAAACCTATTAAACTTCATTTCTGGTTTCAATTAACTAAAGAGAAAAGCACTTTTAGGCAAAAATCCTAAGATTTCTAATAATAGCCCCCCCCCCCAGCTTCTTATTAACTAATGTGTTGCATACTGATTACATTTATTATTATTTCTTTTTTTTTTTTTCATTTTTTTCTGGATCTTTTTCCCAATTTTGGCCTTCATAGAATTCTTAATATTTTCCTTCATGTTTTGTTAATGTTTGTATAGGCTGAATTCTGCAGCAGCCCCTTTAAAAGCTCTTTATCATCACCTAACTGAAATATGTACACAAAAATATATAAATGAAAAATCTTTTTCTTTTTTGCCATTTGCTTTATTGGACACTTAGAACTCTTCCCTGGATTTGGTGTATTTCTTTATTGGAGGAGAAGTAAAACATTTAAAATCATTCTTACATGATAACAGGCAACTCAAATATACTTCATTGTTTTGAAAGAAAGAAAATTTATACGTATTTGATTAAAAGCTTAATTTTTAAATGAATACGTGGTACCCCCTGGCCAAGAAACTTTTTCAAAAGGAACTAGGGTTTACTCATGCTTAGAATACAGGACAGTCTATTTAATAGAAACAATTTAAGAGGAAGGATGAGGGGGGGGGGAACCAGATAAGTTAGTATCTTAAGAAGTTGAAGGACATGTAAAAACCAGTATATAAGATATTCTACTTTATCTAGAAAGTTTACCAGGGATAGGAAAAGTGTCTTTAAGTGAACTACTTTATTAATAAATGGAAGTAAGAGATAAGAGGCCTAAAGAGGAAGTATGTTTATTAATTTTGGATTTGTCTTTTCAGGGGCTAAATTTTCTTAACGAAATAAAACCTAAAATTATCTAGAGTACTGTAATTTAAGTTTTAAAGCTGCATGAATAAGATGAAGTTTTTGAATGTTTCTGCTGTGAGATCTGCTCTGCCATCGAGTATCTTCATCTTTGTTTTTGTTGGCTGGTGAACTTAATCTAAAAGAGTGCTGCCTGTTAATTATTCCAGGAAGTGCGGTGGAGAAATCCTTAGCTGTCAGCCAAGGTGGAGAGCTCTACGAAGAGTGGCTGGAACTTGGAAACGGTTGCCTCTGCTGTTCAGTGAAGTGAGGAATGGGCTTACTATGTGCTTGTTGGTTTACTGGAAATGTTTATCGATTATATTGCCAGTTTTGATTTTCTTGTGTAATCTGACTGAATTTATATGTGTACAGTTTGCTTCATTGTATTTTCAAATAGAAAATAAATTTATTAAGTTCCATTTTCTGAAAGTGTTTCTTGTGATCTTACTTCTTTCTGTCTACTCTAATGCTCTGGTCCTTTCCTTTTACTGAGGTTTTTATTTTTGATATTATGGTTTATTTAATTAATATTTTTTGTAGTGCATAAATGTCTTATTTCATATGTAAAAAATGATTATTCTGAATCTAATAAGCCATTGGTTTTATTTTTAAGTATTAATATTCAGCTTTCTAAAAACAAAAATAAATGACTATCAAAAAAGAGAAAAACCAGATGGCACCTGTGGCTCAAAGGAGTAGGGTGCTGGCCCCATATCCCAGAGTGGTGGGTTCAATTCCAGCCCTGGCAAAAAAAAAAAAAAAAAAAAAGAGAGAGAAAAACCTTATGCTATGTTCTACTAGTTATAGTTAAGTTCCCAAGGACAATGTCTATTTTGTTCATTAATCTACCCAAGATCCTAGGAGAATTACTGACACATAGAGCCAACTCAAATATTTGCTGAATGAATTATGAAAATTAGTACTTGTTAATTTTGTGAATTCTAATGACTTAAATTTCTTCTATATCATTTATTACCTTAGGTGTTTGAATTAAATGTATTGGCAAGGATAAAATCATAACAGACTTTCTTGAACAACCAAACTGTAATTTTCTAAGTATTTTCCTAGGCTTTTGATAGTATAAGAAAAAGGGGAAATTAAGACCTTGTATCCTATGCAGAATAGAATGAGATTGTATTTAATGGCAGCGTTCCTTTGGTAATTATATTACACTACTGTAGGTAATAAATTTTATTTTGGATTTTGATTCTTTTTCCTTTCATGAAGTTGTGAAAATAACAGATACTGATAAATGCTTTTTGTTTTATTAAGTTAAAAGCATTAACTTAGCACATATATAATTTTTTTGTGTGTACCTGTCCATATTTGCATGTATTGTTTTCTCCTTGATAATATAGGACAGACATTATGGCAGAAACTTTGGAGTGTGTTAAATTTTCACATCCTAAAGATATTTTTGTCTTAGGTTGTTGAATATATTTTAACATGTTTATAGTGAACTCTTAAAGATACTCAGGCAATCAGCTGTATGTTTTGGTATTTTCTAGGGATAATGGCCTTAGAGCTATTGAGAATTTGATGCAGAAGAAGGGGAAATTTGATTATATACTGTTAGAGACCACTGGATTGGCAGATCCTGGTAAGAAATGATATTATTAATAACTAAAATATGGTTCTTTAACTTTTTTTTTTTTTTTTTAAAGAGACAGAGTCTTACTTTGTCACCCTCAGTAGAGTGCTGTGGTGTCACAGCTCATAGCAACCTCCAACTCCTGGGCTTAGGTGATTCTCTTGCCTCAGCCTCTCAAGTAGCTGGGACTACAGGCACCTGCCATAATGCCTGGCTATTTTTTTTGGTTGCAGTTTGGCCGGGGCTGGTCCGAACTCGCCACCCTCAGTATATGGAGCCAGTGCCCTACCCACTGAGCCACAGGTGCCACCCCAGTTCTTTAACATTTTAAGTAGATATATTAGAGGAATTCTGTTTTTTATTTTTATTAAATCATAACTCTGTACATTGATGCATTTATGGGGTTCAGTGTACTAACTTGATATGCAATGTGAAATGCTTACATTGAACTGATTAACACATCCATCACAATTATACTCTTTTCTTAATAGTTTTGAAATGTACCATTGTATCATGCACATTAGGTGAAGTCCCCCCAAATGCCCTCCCTCCTCCCGCCTCCCCCATCCCCTCTTCTCTCCTCTCTCTTGTTTTCCCTTCTATTTTCTGGACTATAGCTATGTTTTACCATTCCTATGAATGTGTAGGTGATTATATATTGATTTCATAGTAGTATTGAGTACATTGGATACTTTTTTTTTCCATTCTTGAGATACTTTACTAAGAAGAATATGTTCCAGTTACATCCAGGTAAACAAAAGATGTGAAGTCTCTTTTTTATGGCCACATAGTATTCCATGGTGTACATATACCACAATTTGTTAATCCATTCATGGGTCAATGGGCACTTGTTTCCATGTCTTGGCAATTATGAATTGGGATAAACCTGCAATAAACTTTCAGGTGCAAATGTCTTTGTTGTAAAATGATTTTTGATCATCTATGTATCTACCTAGTAGAGAAATTGCAGAATCACATGGTAGGTCTGCTTTTAGTTCGTTGAGTATTCTCCAAACTTCTTTCCAAAAGGTCGTATTAGCTTGCATTCCCACCAGCATTATGGACGTGTTCCCTTCTCTCTGCATCCGTGTCAACGTCTGTAGTTTTGGGATTTTTGTTATGTGGGCTAGTCTTACTGGAGTTAGACGATATCTCATAGTGGTTTTGATTTCAATTTCTTTGATGATTCAAGATGATGAGCATTTCTTCATGTGTTTGTAGGCCATGTGCCTGTCTATATTAGAGCAATTGTAAAATGAGTATTAAAGCTTTAGAGTTATAATGTTTTTGGTTCTAAAGAGAAAAAGTAGTGTGTTGTGATTTTCTTTGTCAGATTATGGTGAGCAGAATACTTGGTACTTTTAATAGAATTTGAAATTTTATTGATTGATTAAGGGTTATTGATAGGAACAAGTTGTTAAAAATATGGAAATTTAAGAAAGATTAAAATTTCTAAGTACAGTCATCCCTGGTATCCATGGAGGATTTGTTTCAGGACCCCCAAGGATACTGTAATCCACAGTGCTCAAGTCTGTGATATAAAATGGTGTAATATTTGCATATCGCCAACACACATCCTCTTGTATACTTTAAGTCATCTCTAGATTACTTGTAATACCTAAGACAATAGTTGTTATACTGTATTGTTTAGAAATAATGATAAGGAAAAAAGTCTGCACATGTTCACTACATACGCAGCCGTTCTTTTCTTTTCTTTTTTTAAATATGTTTTTGATTTTACAGTTGATTGAATCCATGGGTGTGGAACCCATGGATAGGGAGTGAGGACTATGTATATAATCAGTTATACTATGTGTAGATTTTATTAGTTACACTATGTGTAGATTTTATCAGTGATACTATATGTAGATTTTGTTTCTGTTTACTTTCTTTCTTTTTTTTTTTTTGAGACAGAGCCTCAAGCTGTCCCCCTGGGTAGAGTACCGTGGCATCACAGCTCATAGCAACCTCCAACTCCTGGGCTCAAGTGAGTCTCCTGCCTCTGCCTCCCAAGTAGCTGGGACTACAGGTGCCCACCACAATGCCTGGCTATTTTTTGGTTGCAGCCATCATTGTTTGGCAGGCCTGGGCTGGATTTGAACCTGCCAGCTCAGGTGTATGTGGCTGGCTCCTTAGCCACTTGAGCCACAGGCGCTGAGCCTCTGTTTACTTTCTAATCTAGCTTTCTGAGAGGGTCTCTTATATCTCCAAGAGAAATATTTAAAAGCTTTTAGACTATATACATTAATTGTTAGTTTTTGTTTTTCTACTACAAAAATTGAAATAATTTTACTTGTAAATGTTGTCTTAAGGTATCAAAGAATAAACAATTAAATTGAGCCTACTCAGCCTTTTTCCTAGTATGGAATTAATGGTTATCAATACAATTTTTATATCTGAATAGCACTATAGCTGTATTTCCCTATGGAAAGCTACATAGAGTCCACATATTTCTAACAATGGATTTTTGTTACCGTCTTACCAAAGTCTAATAACTTCCATTTTATTTTGCCCCAAATGGTTGTTAGGTAAAATCATTATTCTTTATTTGCATAACATTCTGTATTTGTTTCATGAATCTGACCTATATTGTTATTTCTTTTTTGATGTGGATCTATGGCACTGGGCATTGTAAAACTATGTTAAAGTGATTTACCAAAAGGGTCATAGTGGTCCGAAAAAAATACTGGGAGTAATGTGGGTTCAAATGTAATCAGTGGTTATTGTGCTTAAAAGTTATTATGTAATTTCAAAGTAGTCCTGAATTAGGGCTATTTTGGTCTTTAAGAGTAGGCATGGGTTACGTTTCCCATATATCTGACTGGTTGATAGGACTTGTTGGTGTTAAATTTTAAATTATTTGAATCTGATAAGAGAGAAAGCTGTATTATGTGCTTTAATTTGAATTAGCAAATATCAGTTTCTTTCATTATAGCCAATTTTGCCACTTTATACAGATAAAAACTCTTGTCACTTTTGAGAGTATGAAGGTCTGACAGTTAAGTTTGCAAACTCATCCTAGAAAAAGTGCTGTATACCTTGTTGCTGAGTATCACTACAGGCACCTTTGAAGTACTCCCCTTGGGAAGCTATGCACTGATGCCAGCACCTAGTCCATGCTTCAGAGCAATTTTGACACTCTTTTTCTGGAATAGCTATCAAAGCTATTGTTGTATTGCACCTGATGTCCAGAATGTCATCAGTGTTTTTCTTTCAATATTTCCTTTATCTTTGGGTAAAGAAAAATGTCATTGGGTAAGATTAGGTGAGTAGGGAGGATGTTCTAATACATTTATTTGTTTACTGGCTAAAAGCTACCTCACAGACAGTGCTGTATGCACTGGTGCATTGTTGTGATTCAAGAGCCATGAGTTGTTGGCCCAGATTTTCAGTTAAGATTTTCCTGTTTTTAGGCCAGGCGCAGTGGCTCACGTCAATCCTAGCACTCGAGGAGGCTGAGGCAGGTGGATTACTTGAGCTCACATGAGTTTGAGACCAGCTTGAGCAAAAGTGAGACCTTGTCTCTACTGAAAATAGAAAAAACTGAGGTGAGAGGATCGCTTGAGATCAAGTTGGAGGTTGCTGTGCATTATAATGCCTCGGCACTCTACCCAGGGCGACAGCTTGAGACTCTGTCTCAAAAAAAAAAAAAAAAAAAAAGATTTTCCTGTTTTTCAATCAATGTTTACTTGATCTCCTCTGCTTTTCACAGTTAGTCAACACTTTTGATGCACACTTTGATGAATTTTTGCAGTGTCTTCATCACTTTTGCTCTTCATTGGCCACTCTGACCATATCTGTGATGCTTTCTCTCTCCTCAGAAAAACATTTAATCTGTTTGTATACTGCAGTTTTCTTGATGAAATTGTCCCTACAAACTTGAACTAACATATTCAGTTTGACAAGAATTTAATGTTTGTTCCTTCCTCTAATTCAAGCTCTGATAGTCTTGTGATGGCACACAAACCACACAACAACAGTAATGAATGCCACTGGGTAAGACACCACCATATGTCAACACTAACGCAGCTGTGAGACAGTGATATACCAAGGTTATGAAACCTTACTGAGTTGTTTGTCGGAGTTAAGCCCATGGTGGCTAGTTGGCAAACTTAGTTCTCAGAACTTGTGCATGAGTTTAACAAATTTAACTTTCAGAGAAAGAAAAATTAATGATCTCAGAGAAAGCTTTTATACTAGTGTTTTTCAACTTTTTTTATCTCATGGTACCCTTGAACTTGTAGTTAAACTTTTGCAGCACACTTAAATTATGTTGATCAAAAAAGTTAAAAAAAAAAAAAAGGAATATACTTCCTGTGCTTACTTTTGAACTTCTTTTGAAAATAATTTAATTGATGGTCATTCAAAATTTTCACAGCACATCTAAGATCCTCTCACAGCACGGGGTACACCAGTTGAAAATCACTGTTTTATACAAATTGTAGTTATAAAAAATGTTAATGTCTGTTCTAACTTTCTTTAGAATAATGATTTTATTGTTTGGGTAAAGGAGGAACATTAATTAATTTAATTTTAAGAAATGAATGCCTAGGCTCGGCACCTGTTGCTCCAGCAGCTAAGGCGCCAGTCATATACACCTGAGCTGGCAGGTTCGAATCCAGCCCCAGCCTGCCAAACAACAATGATGGCTGCAACCAAAAAATAGCCAGGCATTGTGGTGGGCGCCTGTGGTCCCAGCTACTTGGGAGGCGGAGGCAGGAGACTCACTTGAGCCCAGGAGTTGGAGGTTGC